CTGACTTCCCCTTCCTCCCATTACCTGTCCACTCCTCTCGGCCTCCTCGCTTCCTCCTGGCGCTGTGCCTGTGTGAATACCATAACCACCTCCCTCACATAGACTTGGGATTATTTTGCATGTTTCCAGTAAGGTCTAACACAGGATTGGCACATGGTGCACTTCCAACATGCTTATCACATGTTCCAACGCAGGAATGATAGTTCCCATCACCCTGCCCACAGCCTAACAATGTTACTACTTTTCCTAAGCACACAGGCCTTGGGAAGCACATCACACTTTGCAAAATGATTTTACTTCTACTGTCTCTTTTGCACCCCACACAACTCTATGGAGAGCTAGAGAACTTGAAAAAATTCCATGGTTTGTCCAAAGTCAACAGACCTGAGGGTGAGGTTGGAGCTCCAGTCCTGGCCTTGTAGGAGTCATTTCTCCTGCGGCCTGGCTCCCAGCTGAGAAACTGCAAAGCCTGGGTCATAACAGCCCCAAATCTCCCCCTCACCCTGCACTTTGACCATAATAACCAGGGTCCCCATCAACTGCCCATCTCCCCAAATTTCTGAAGTGATGCTGTCCTGACCTTCTCTCCATCTGAAACCCTCAGCTGATCATCTGTCTCCCCGCTGGGGCCTCTGTAGCTGCCTTCTCCCCCCACACTCTCAATCCTGGTCCCTTTCCTTCCACTATGCTGTCCTCATCCCAAACTGCTGTCCTCAATGCTCCTAGATCCATGCATTTTCTCCTTGTTTTAAAGAAAAAACCAAGAACAGAACACATCTCCCAAATAGATTTGCTGTGGAAAGCCTTTGTTAAGTAGCTCATTAAAGAAGAACAGGAGGGGGCNGGGTTGCGATCCGTTGCCGGACACGAAAAAAGACAAAAAGGAAAAAAAAAAAAAAAGAACAGGAGGGACATACTGGAAGGAAGTGGGCCCTGCTTTGTGGTGTAGGAGACAGGGCATCGGGCATGGAGCTGGAGATCAGGAAACCCGGGGTCAGTGCCTGCTCTACCAGGACGGGTCATGTGGCTTCCATCCAGCAACTCCCCTGTCTGGGTCTCAGGTTTCTCCCTGTCAAGCATGTAGTCAGGATGAGATGTTTTCAAAGGTGGCTTTCTCTGCCAGTGTCAGGATTCTTTCAAGCACAGGGTAGAACCTAAGGGCACAGGTCCTGGGTTTGAATTCAGAGGCAGCCACTTACCCACTGTGTGGTCTTGGGCAAGTTACTCACCCAGTCTCTGCCTCGCTCCTAAGCTGTAAACTGGAGATAATGCACAGGGTCGGTGGAGGTGTAGATGGGGGGGACGCACAGTGCTTAACCCAGTGCCTGGCCCCTTGGGAGAGCGTCCTAAACACTCA